CTCAGCCATGCTGGTCTCTTCCCTTCCTTGCCTGATTTCTTACACCTGGGGACTGGGAGCTCTTGTGCTCTATGGAACGCATCCTTAAAGATCTGCCAGCTCAGTTCTGCTCCCTTGTCCCTGAGGACCGTTTCCCAGGGGGTCTTCCTGACTGACTCCTTGAAGAGCTGGAAGTTTGCTTTCCTAAAATTTAGGGTCATGACTATACTCCTTGCTTTTCCCATATCCCTCAGCTGTGTGACCTTCACCAATGTGTGGTCGCTGCAGCCCAGACTGCCTCCAAGCTTGACGTCACTGACGAGCTCACTTGCATTGGTGACCATCAGCTCCAGTATCGCATCCCCTCGGGTAGGGGTGTCTATTACCTGGCTTAAGAAGATATCCTCAATGCATTCTAGGAATCTCCTGGATTGCTTACAGCTCGCTGTGCTGCTTTTCCAGCTGCTCTTGGGGTGGTTGAAATCCCCCCAGTAGGATGAGAGCCTGCGAGCGAGAAGCCTCCTGGAGCTGGAGGAAGAACGTTGCGTCAGTTCTTGATCTGGTGGCCTGTAGCAGACACCAATCATAAGGTTCCCTTTGTTGCCCCAGTCTCTGATTCTTACCCATAAGCTTTCGACCTGCTCGTGGCTGTTCTTCAGGGACAGCTCTTCACACTGAGAAAGCATACCATGGACAAATGAGAATTTCAAACACATCAGAAACACCTTAAAAGGTGCATTTGAGGGATGCGGTGTTTAGGGACCTCTTCCGTCACGCTGCACCAGGCTGCTCCGTGCCAGCCGGCTGCTGCCAGTCCTTGCCCTCCCAAAACGTTGCAGTGCAGTGTCCCTCTTTGGCTCTTCAGATGAGCTCAAGTTATTCTGAGACAGGAGTAAATTCCTTTTCCTAGGCACTTAGGAGCTTTTGGATATACTACCCAGAGAGTAATTGGGAACAAAAGTCCCACGCAAACGTATTTACAAGATATCTTCTGGAGGAAAGGAAAATAAAGCATAAGCAGAAGTTATTGCTCTTACAGGAGAGCTAGTGGATTTTTTTTTTAATTAAAACTTTCCAAAAAGAAAAATTTGGCTGAAACACTTACTAAATGTTCCCATTTTGGGCCATCTTTAATACTGGAGTAAACATTGGTTTATTCCAAGAGAAATTAAAGACAGGAAAAAAAAAATTTTAAAGCAGCTTGACATGGCATTTGATGCTTAATATTAAAGTCATCAGTCAAAATTATAAGAAAGCAGGGATAGTCAGACTTGCTGATAGGTACAGTCTCTCCTGTATTCCTTGTCCCATCATTTTAGGCATTAAACAAGCAAACAAAAAGACACCATGCAATAATATCTGTTGAAACGGACGTCAAACGAGTCTTGGGCTGCTGTTCTGCCGTGTTCCAGGTCAATGGCACAGGTCCCCTGGGCTGGCTGTGGCCAGGCCACCACGCACCAGCCTCCATCCCCACATCCCAGCAACCACTGGCACACGTGGTGTTTCTGAGGTTCCCACAGGCCCATGTTCAAGCTGTTGGTCCTTCCCTCTTTACTGATTTTTGTGGGGTTTTGCAGCAGGACATGAAGAACCTCGGATGGTTTTGGAGCACCGAGGCTGCTGTCACTTCCCGGTGCCCTGCTGGGGGCTTGGGGTGGGCTGGCTTGAGGTTGGCTTGGGTTGGGGTTGGGTTAGGATTGGGTCAGGTTGGGATTGGCTTGGATGCTTTCTTTCGAGCAGGCTATTACTCAGTAAAGAGCAACAATTTCAGAGTCTGGCCATAAATTTTTCAGATTCCCATCTGGCTCCGCAGTCAGACAAAACATCCTCCTGGTAATTGTCTTGTCTCGAGAAGACTTCTGCCGGGTTTGGTGGCCTGAATAGCAGCCCAGACCATTACAGCTAATTACAGCAGTGCTCCGTGGCCGCTCGCAGTGCTCAGTTATTGCTGTAACATGGGGGTATGTGGATGCCGTGTCCTCAGCGCCAACGCTTTAAGCTGCAGGTGGGCTCCTGCTGGTCCCTGCTCCTGTTTAACGCAGGCTTAGGCTGAACAGCCACGGCACGCCCAGGGAGGTGGGTGCTGTGAGCCTGTATCCAACCATCACAGCTCCTCTGGGCGCCGGAGGGATCGGACGTTCCCGCGGGAGTGCCCTCTGGCCACGGCTGTACACACGTGGGTGTGTACGCAGCGGTGTGTCCGTCCGCCCTGGGACATGGCCAGACAAACACTTCCCTTCGGGGCACGGGCTGCACTCTAGTCCTGACACCGAAGTTTTGTTACATCGATTTCAGGCTCTGCTGCCACTTCGTTTGTAAACGGCAGCTGAAGCGCTGGGATCTCCCTGAAGAAGGGTTTCGCTTACTTCAGTCGCTTCTGCTGACAGCTTAAGGGAGGGTGGTGGGGAGGGGTGGGGGGAGGATGCTCGTTAGAGCCTCACGGCACTGCCTCGTCTGG